TCTATCTATCTATCTATCTATCTATCTATCTATCTATCTATCTATCTATCTATCTATCTATCTATCTATCTATCTATCTATCTATCTATCTATCTATCTATCTATCTATCTATCTATCATCTATTTATTTATTTATTTATTTATTTATTAGGGCAGTGCACTATTCTAGGAGGTTGACAAGCTAAAATCAAATGAACACAATAAACCAAACAATGAAGCACAGGAAAGTAAAATAAGCAGACTAGTGTTTGTCAATATCATTCCTCTAAAAGCAGCAAAGGCGTTCTAGTCCAGGACGGAGGTGCTAGCAGCCAAGTGCTAATGTAATAACAGAAGAAACTAGCAAGTACAGGTAACAAGTGCAAAGAGAGAAGAAGTTATGGGGAGGACCCATAGATAACTGAAGTGTACAACAGGAGCCATTTGGGGACTAATAGCTGCTGTAAGAGTTGTAATTGTTCCAGCTACATAATTCAAATACAGTACCATGTTATTTCATTTCAAGGCACCATTTTATAGAGTTTATGACAAGAAATATTAGGTAAGTATTAGGATCCAAAACCTGGGGCTTCCATAAGGAAAATTTTGTAACAATACCATCTGTGTCCATAACGTATCCCCATTTCAGAAGTCCCCAATTAGCGATGAAACCTATATAAAACAATTACTCTTTGAAGAGCAGACCTTGTTGCTTAGTAAACCAAGCGTAAACTGTCCCCAGCATCTTCAAGAAAGTTGGCAATACATGAATGGAATGCTTGAATAAGGAAAAGAAAGCATGCACGCATCAAGTTACTGGCATTTCCCACGTTTACTGTCTCTACTTTGCCCATGCAGGGGATCCACATAAAACACTGCCTTATGAAAAAGTAGAAGACAAAGTGAGTTCAGAATACAGCTAGCTGTAAGACTCTTGAGAACTTTGTTCGGAATACAGGCTGAATGAACTTTAATCAACTTGGTTCCCATTTTCCATGTGGACCTAGGCAAGGGATTTCAGCTCAATGGCCTGTTTTCCCTCCGAAGCGGAACCGCTCTTACCTGTGCCACAGCAGAGCTTTCAGGATTAATTAGTTAATGTTTGTAGAGACCTTTCAAAATGCAAAGCTCTGTGTAAATGTCAGCTCTTATTATGAGTAAGCAGCTTTCCAGAGGCAAGCCACTCAGTGAAAAAAAAAAGTGGAAGCTAAGGGGAACCATAGTTTTTGCTACCTGTGGGGATCTGTTAAGAATTATCTGGGCTTAAGTAAAACTCATTCTCCTGATTCACATTGAAACAGCGCCCTTTGCTTCACATGAGTGCAATCTAATGAAACACAAATCCAGTTTGAAAAGGTTTGGTGCTGCACCAGCACATGGCTGTCAGGTGTGTGTCTTGCCCAAGGTGGCAGGGGTAGAAATTTTTGTGTGTGTGTCTGTGTGTGTGTGTGTGTGTGTGATTTAAAATGCCTCCTTTTAAAAGTTCCCTTCAAGTTTCCTTCAAGAGTGTTCCATTCACTGGATGGGGCAGAGTCTCTCTCTCTCTCTCTCTCTCTTTCTTTCTCTCTTTCTTTCTCTCTCTCCCTCCTCTTTCTACTGCACATCCATTGGGAAGGCAGATTAAAGTTTTTTTCCATTCTGTACCTCAGAGGCATCAAGAAAACAGCAATGCTTTTGAAAGCCATAGCTAAAACAGACGGTGCTTTATGGAAATGAGATGGATAGATCTGCATGCCTCTTCACCCGCATCAACAAGAAAAACATTTCCTCAGCTTTTCACACTGGCACATCTGCTGAGCCTGACGAATAGGGAACAGCTTGTTCCTATTTCCAGTCCATGGCCCCACCGTATTTGCCAACATATTGCCTTATTAAAGCCTTGCTCTGTGTCACAGAAGACACAGCAACAAGAACACCAGGACAATAACTTATTGTTAATAATTTATCGTCATGCTTTGTGGGCATGTGGGCTTATACCTCTGCGATGTCAGAGGGCAGTTTCCCATTTACTGTACTTTGATGGGTTTGGAAGTGGGCCCACATGCTGCACATCCCAAGGAAATGTCTCCAACAGATTTATCATGGTGGGAAGAGTCATTATCTTTTACAAGTGGCACACAATTGGCAAGTGGATATCTTATAATGGTCCCTGCTCTATGGGTGCAGCAGTATGCAAGCTTTTGTGCTTCACAAAATGGCAGAATGGAAAAAGATTTCTTTTAAAGGCCAAAGAGGTTCCGGTGGCAAATATTTCATATTGACACACAGAGAGGCCAAACATGAGTAACATAAAAACATTTACCATGTGCGCAAACACCTATATAATGAGAGTTGCTGCAGATTTCTATTGCCCATGGCCAAATTTGCAGAAAATTTAGGGAATGGTGCAAGTGGAATACCCCTTCAGGATTTGAAGGTAAGTCACAAGGATGTCAAAGTTAGCAAATTCCACATATCTTTTCATATATATTTCTTCTTATAACACAGGGGCAGTCTGGGAAAGTACAATGTGTGAATCGACCCCATACCACAGCCCAACAGCAGTATGGTAAAGCTCTTGCTCTTGAAACGGATTTTGAGTACAATGTGGGGTGACAAGCACCTGACAGGACACAATACCTAAGATGGCCAGTGCCTGAAAGGTCATGTCGTGAAGCCTTTGGTCATGGTCATTATCACAGAGGCAGAAAATGTCTCTCCATCCCTCTCAGCGTTACAAGGGAGAGGCTTAAATAACTTCAGTCACCTCTAAAAATACCACAAGGAGTAGCTGGGATTATGGTTATTCATGCCTAATTCTACAGATTTACCACTAAAGCATTATTTGAGAAAATCTGAAAGTTGAGTGATGGCAACTGGACCTCTTTCTTATTAGGTTGAAACATTTCACTTCTTCAGTCACTTGGATGAGTTTCAACCCAATAAGAAAGAAGTCCAGTTGCCATGACTCCAGATAACTTCACCTGGATGACTGAGAATTTTCACATATATTATTGCAGAAAAATGAGTATGTATTACATTGTTCCTTAAATAAACTCAGTAAATGTGGAAATTGACTAAATATTTCTCAAACCATGGGCCTAGAGGAACCACTAGGGGGGCTCTCTGTCCTCCTTCAGGTGCATCTCAGTGGTAGAGTCTGCCCAATACCTCTTTTCTGGACGGCCCTGTGTTGTCAACCATATTGCAGCCTATTAGCTGAAATGAAACCAGCTGTCTGCATATACAGTTGGAGCAGGAGCTGCAACATTCTGTAGCATGCAAGTCTGGAGGGAAAGAAAAAGTGCGGGGAAGGAAGGAGGAAACAGATGACAGATGGATCGAGAGTTAATGTGACTTCACTGAAACAGCCTGGATTAGAGGCAATCGTCATCTCTTATGGGGTAGAATTTCATGCATTGTGTGTCATGCAAAGAACTTGGTAAAACTTTGCTCTGCCTTGAGTTTACTGCTCAGTGACTACTGTACTTTACAGTGAATTCTTTCCCCCTGTGACTTTGGAATCACTACCACTGCCACACTACATTATGCCGTAATTCCTCTAATTTATGGATTGCTGAAAGCATAGTCAAAATACTTGGACTGTCATTTTATCATACTTTATTCTAATTAGCAGTAGTCTGGAACAGGGGACAGAACCAAATGAAACAGTATCACATTTGAAAAATGGATTCAAAATAACTATAAACACATAAGGTAAGTGCATCTGAATGATCGTTCAGTTTACAATGATGCGTTCTGAACAAAAATGGATTCAAAGTAACTATAAACACATAAGGTAAGTGCATCGTTCAGTTTACAATGATGCGTTCTGAAATGTTTTTACACAACTGTGAACATCTTTATTGCCATAACTTGCCCCTTCATGTTTTCTGAGAGCAAATCAGCATCCATCTATCCACACAATACAGCACTGTCATTCTTTAAAGACTGCTCTATGAAAAAGAAAATTGTATGATTCAACCCTCAAGGGCCCAGATAAATAAACAACAACTATGTGACACTAGAATGAGTAAGATTTCCCTTCAGCTGCTCCCTTGGAACCATCTGCCTTTGTGCTGGTAACACAGGGCAAATGCTCCCGCAGCCCCACGTGAGAAGTCAGTGGAGTGTCTCCAGTGAAGGAGAGCCTTTTTATGCCCTCAGAACAGCAACGGCTCTGCCTGCTCAGACCTTTGCCTCAGCGGCTCCTTTTTGTAAAACAAGAAAACTAGGACCCCAGAGCAGATCAGCCAGAGCTGAGCATCCTCTGGTGGCTGGGAGACTTGAAACGAATGTAAAACGATGACAACTCCCTGAAGGAAGGTGATCGCTCCTTGGAAAGAGATGATGACTGCTTGGAAAGAGACAATGACTCCCAGGATTTTGTTGGTTCTTTCACATTGAGCGCATAGAGGCAGTAGCTCTGGCTTCTCTGAGTCCTTCTTTCATAGCTACATCCCGTTTGTACGCATCACCTGCTGCAGCGTGACTAGGAGACTGGGAAGGTAACCTGAAAGGCAAACATGTACATGACTCAGAATGGAGAGGATTTCTTGCGGTGGTGGATTGTAACCATGCTCTTCAAACATCATTTAGATTAGCACTGAACCGTTGCATGTGCCAGTTGACACAGGCACTGAACCATTTATGCTGGCACCATCTGTTGTGATTAATGCAAAGCTCACACCTACGAATGGAAGAAACTGAATCATAACCCCAAAGAGAAGGGGGGGGGAAGGACCAAGAGACGCACACACAGAATGGGTCCCATTGTCTATGAATGCATTACATTCCACTCTCCAGTTCACGCCACAGCTGCTATTATTTCTATTATTTATTTAATTTATTTGATTTATATCCCGCCTATCTGGTCTGGTCAACCACGCTGGGCGGCTACCAATAGAAGTATATACAATAAAAACATAAGGATTTTACAAACGATCCAAACACATACAATATTAAAACAAATAATAAATGGGAAAAAAGAATAAAGAAAAAATTAAGTATTGACAGGAGGGAAGGCCTGAATGTACATCCATGTTTTTAGTTGATTCTTGAAAGGGCCCAACGTAGGGGCCGCACGAATCGCCGGAGGAAGATTATTCCAGAGGCGAGGAGCCACCGCCGAGAAGGCCCGATTTCGTGTCTTTTCCTTCCAGGCCTCCCTCGGCGTTAGGCTCCTCAGCCTCACCTCCTGGCTTGTGCGGGTGATCTGGGTAGATCTAGGTGGGAGCAGGCGTTCCGCCAAGTATCGAGGTCCTAAACCGTTTAGGGCCTTATAGGTAAGCATTAGGACTTTGAAGTCAATGCGGAAACGAATGGGCAGCCAGTGCAGCATGGCCAGTGTAGGAGAAATATGTTGGTCTTTTCTCACTCCAGTAAGGAGTCTGGCTGCTGCATTCTGCACCCCCTGAAGCTTCCGCGTCAGCTTCAAAGGGAGCCCCACGTAGAGCGCGTTACAGTGGTCTAATCTAGAGATTACGAGCGCATGTACTAAGGTAATGAGCGTCCCCGTGTCGAGATAAGGTCGCAGCTGGGCAATCCGCCAAAGGTGGAAAAAGGCGGTGTGGACTACCGATGTCCCCTGCGTTTCAATGGTGAGTGTCGGGTCCAGATGTACCCCCAGGCTGCAGACCCCACTCTTCGCAGACAGGGCCACCCCCTAACATGAGGGAGTTTCCCAAGCCACCATCCACAGGGCCACCCACCCTCAGAACTTCGGTCTTGTCCGGATTCAGCCTCAGCCCATTTTCCTGAATCCATTGCAGTACAGCCTCCAGGCAGTGCTGGAGGGACAGGATGGCATCACCTGCAGTTGGTGAAAAGGAGATGTAGAGCTGGGTGTCATCAGCATATTGATGACACTATGCTCCACACCCCCTAATGACCCCACCCAGCGGCCTCATATAGATGTTGAACAGCATTGGGGAGATAATCGACCCCTGTGGAACCCCACATTTGAGACTCCACGGGGCCGAGACACTCTCCCCAAGCTGCACTCTCTGGGGGTGGTCCTCCAAGAAGGAACAGAACCAGGCAAATGCCAAGCCACCGATACCCAACTCGGAGAGCCTCCCCTGGAGGATACCGTGGTTGACAGTATCAAAGGCCACCGAGATGTCGAGGACGACCAACAGAGATATTTTATCCCTGTCGGCCTCCCTCAACAGATCATCATACAGGGCAACCAATGCCGTATCTGTACCGTGGCGCGGCCTGAAGCCTGACTGAAACGGATCCAGGGCATATGTTTCATCCAAATGTGCCTGAAGCTGATCTGCAACCACCCTTTCGACCACTTTGCTCATGAAAGAAACATTGGCGACGGGTCTATAATTGCCAATTTCATCCGCCGTCAAACTAGGTTTCTTTCTTATGGGCCTAATGAGTGTCTCCTTGAGGGCAGAAGGAAACCTACCCTCAAGAAAAGACCCATTTATTATTGCTGTGGCCCATTCTGTTGTTTTCGGCCTGGCTGCTTTGATTAGCCAGGCCGGGCAAGGGTTTAAGGAGGAGATGGTGGCTCGACAGCAGTCAAGCACCTTGTCCACAGAGTCAGGCATCACAGGCTGAAAGGAGTCGAGGGTGGGTTACTGGACAATTTTATTTATTTATTTATTTTATTTATATCCCGCCTATCTGGTCACTTAAGACCACTCTAGGCGACTGCAAGACGGAGCACTGGACATCTCAGCTCGACTTACTGTGTTCAAAAAAGGAGAGAGCTCCTGGCGGATGGCCTCCATTTAGATTTTAAAAAGGCTGCAAACTGGTCAGGTGAAAAACTAGGGTGAGGCCTATCACCCAGACCAATTCCGGATAGGTTGCACATTATATGGAATAACTCTGCCTGCTGATTTGAAGCTTTGGTTATCCGGTTGGCGAAGAATGATTGACAAGCAGCCTTTACCTTATTCAGGTAAATGTTAGTTGCAACTCTAACAGCAATCCAATTATGTTCTGTCGGGTTCTTCCTTCACCTACGCTCTAGCCTTCTCCTTGTGCGCTTCATCGCTCGAAGCGCCTGGTTAAACAAGGGCGCTGGCCGAGCTCTACGAAGGAGAGGGCATTTAGGCACGATCATGTCTATAGCCGTAGTTGCAAAGGTGAACCAACTATCAACCAGAGCATCGACAGGAGTGCTAGCCAGGTCCGTCGTGACCCCTCTCATGGCATCCTGGAATCCAGCAGGATCCAGTAGCCTTCAAGGGCGGACCATAGAAATAGGTCCCTACTCCCTGCAGGGGGGGGAGCACCACTGTGCGGTTACATTTTATCAGGTGGTGATCTGACCATGACAAGGGGACTGACACAAGGTCGGTCACCATCAGACCATACTCACTCCAACTGGTGGAAAAAAACGGGTCCAATGTGTGGCCACCCACGTGGTTGGGGCTGTTGACATGTTGGGACATGTTCAAGGAAGCCATGGTTTCCAGGAACTCAAGAGCTGGCCCAGAAGCCTCTGCCCCCACGTGCACGTTGAAATCACCCAAGACCAGAAGCCTCGGGGATCCCAACAGTGTCGCAGAGACAAAGTCAGCCAGCTCCGACTTTGTCGGAGCTTCTAGACCAGAAAAGAAAGCGGAAGCTACTTGGATATTTAATCCTTAAAGCTACACACATTTCTTAACAAGCATCCAGCTGTGTCATCAAAATAGCCAACATCAATCTTCAAGCACATAAGCTGAACTTAAGAGTTGCCTTACTACCAATTATGTTTTTGTTCTACATTTTGACCACCCCCAATGTATACAGAGTGAATGAAAGCATTGCTGCTTGCATAGACAACCTATGATTGACACCTGGCAACTTAAATCAAACCAAATTACATGAAACATAACATAATAAACAAAATGTACATTAGTATAACAAAAATACTTAATGACCATAGTTACAGATTTAATGCACAAGCCTCTCCCAGAGGCTTTACATAGATGTTGAACAGCACAGGACAGATGACTGAGCCCTGAGGGACCTCATAACAGGGGGTTGATACAACCTCTCTGAGCTGAACTTTCTGGACATAGCCATCAAGAAAGGACCAGAACCACTGATGGACCCGACCTCTGATCCCTAACCTCGACAGCTAGTCCAACAAGAAACTGTGGTCAATGGAATCAAAAGTAGCTGAGATATCTAGGAGAACCAACAGGGTTATACTCTCCCTGTCAGACTCCCTCAAAAGGTCATCTTGCAGAGCAACCAGTGCCAATTCAATCCTGTGGTATGGGCCAAACCTTGACTAAAATGGATCTAGACTATTGATGTCATCCACGAATGCCCACAACTGGTTGGTCGCCCCCCTCTCTATCATTACTCCCAGTTTGTTCATGTTATGTTCCCAAAGATCTCCCCTTTTCAAAAGTGGGGAACACAGGTACCGGATGTATCTGGCTCTTCTATTAACCATGAGGTAAGATTAAAGTTTGAGTTTCTGTGATTCTAGGGTCAAGTGGATTAAGATTCTTAGCCTCTTACAGTATCTTCTGCCTCCCCTGTACATTGTCTTTTCCCCTTTCTCAAATAATATTACCATGCATCAAACATTTATAATGATGTAAGTTTCATTTTAAAAAGAATCTCTTTAGGAACATGAGAACGAATTCAAAGAAAATAGCTTTATCATGCTGTCTTTAATAGGGATGCTGAGTAATCAACTTAGTAGAGAACACACTATAATTCAGGCAACGGAAGATAATTCAGATATCTAGGTAACATATTTCCATGCCTGGTTGTGTCACTGCCTAGCTTTGGCTAAAGGCACTTCAAAACAGGATCCTTTAAATTATGAGATACAGCAGTGTGTTTTAAGTGGCATACTATCTTGCATATTAGACACTGATTCACACAGATGTCTCATTGTGTTACCTGTGAACATGTCTGTTCTGCACAAGCAGCTTTGGGGTGTTTAAATGCATGTGCAAAGTCACTTACAACATACCGCTCCCATGTATTGATCTGTAAACAAAATTTCATATCTTGAGGATACCTAGTGCTTAGCTTGAGAAATGTTTATTTCTTTCTAAGCTTTGACCTCTCCCATAAGATGTATCAAGTCTGACAGTTGTGTTGTCCTATTGATTGCTATATTTGCACAATCTTTCAGACGACTAAGTAGAAGAGGCTGAGAGCCTGTGGGGGAGCAGGCACAGAGGGAGAGCTGACCTGCTACTGTGCACATTTTGTCCTCAGCACAACACAGTTTCCCATCATGATTTTCTCCAGGCACTATGTCTAACAGACAGATGGATTAAAAACACATAGATGTTCCTCACATTGCACTGCGCTTATTTTACAGAAAAAGAATAATCCCTGCAAATACCCGAGCTTGTTTCCATGAACAAAGATTGAGGTTTGGTTCATCATTCAAAGTTTGGTTAAAAAACTAATCCCCTTCATCTATCTTGAAAGGGGCAAGGATTGAAAACAAAGGGTTTAGCTGTATGGAGATCTGCCTTCACACAGCATTTTGGTTACATATTTGGATAATTGCCTTGCATCCCTACA